AAATCGACCTTCTCAGCATGCAGGAGACGGGGGACCTGACCGACTTCGTGGAGAACGTGGAGTGGGAAGTGCTGGGGATGCCTGCCCAGAGGAACGTCATCACTTACGGGTGCTGCTCGGAACCCTATCCAGATGTCACCTACACGCTGCTGCTGAAGAGGCGGGCTTCCTTCTACGTCTTCAACCTTCTGGTGCCCTGTGTCATGATCTCCTTCCTGGCCCCTCTGGGCTTCTACCTTCCGGCGGACTCGGGTGAGAAGGTGTCCCTGGGGGTGACTGTTCTTCTGGCCCTGACCGTCTTCCAGCTGCTGGTGGCTGAAAGCATGCCGCCCTCCGAGAACGTCCCGCTGATTGGTGAGTGGAGAGCCAAGATTCCAATTCTAGATCCCACCACCATCCTGTCCCTACTCAGAAAAACATGCTGACCTAGATGTCTATGGAGATCCACATCATGGTTGCCCCAAAGGAGTTTTTCCAAAAGGGTCTCATTATGTCCGGTCTAACAAAGAGAAGGGCCGGGGAGTGATGTGATAGCGGTGTTCCAGTATCTCAGGGGTTGCCCCAAAGAAGAGGGGGTCAAGCTATTCTCCAAAGCACCTGAAGGCAGGAGAAGAAGGAACGGATGGACACTCATCAAGGAGAGAAGCAACCTGGAACGAAGGAGGAATTTCCTGACAGTGAGAACAATTAGTCAGTGGAACTACTTGCCTCCAGAAGTTGTGGCTGCTCCAACACTGGAGGTTTTTAGGAAGAGACTGAACAGTCATTTGTCCAGAATGGTTTAGCCCAGGGGTAGGCAACCTGGGCTCTTTTATGACTGGTGGACTTCAACTCCCAGAATTCCTGAGCCAGCCATGCTGAAGAGGAGGTTTCCAAGCTGAGCCATGCTGGCTCAGGAATTCTGGGAGTTGAAGTCCACGAGTCATAAAAGAGCCAAGGTTGCCCACCCTTGGTATAGGGTCTTTTGTCTAAGCAGGGGGTTGGACTAGAAGACCTCCAAGGTCCCTTCCCATTCTCTGTTATTCTGCTTAGGCAACTGGACTTTCTTGTTTTTTTCCTTGGAAATGTTTCACTTTTTATTCAAGACTCTTCTAACAGTAAGAACTGAGGAAGTTTCTTGGATCAAATGCAAAACGTTTTCACGGAGAAACCAAGAAATCCAGTTGCATTATTGGGACAACCATGACCTGGAAATGCCGTGTCCCCTGCCAGGGATTGGTCAGAGGCCCCTTGTGACCCAATATGAAGGCTGCCTCTTCTGCCCTTGAGGCCAATTGGCTTGATAGGCTGAGAGTTTGTTTCAGCCCCTGATTAGCCCAGGGTGGCAGTAGCCATGGGGGGGGGGTGCCATCTGAGGGGCAGCAATGGTGACACACTGAGGGGGCTGCCTTAACCTTTCTTGGTGCCACAGGTTCTTTCATAGATACCCAGGTCAGTGGGCTCCCAAACTCCCAGAAAGCCAGCACAACTCCACTTGAATACAGGATAACAGAGTCGGAAGGGACCTCGGAGGTCTTCTAGTCCAACCCCCTGCTCAAGCAGGAGACCCTGTATCATTTCAGACAAATGGTTGTCCAGTCTCTTCTTAAAAGCCTCCAGTGATGGAGCACCCACAACTTCTGGAGGCAGGTAGTTCCACTGGTTAATTGTTCTAACTGTCAGGAAATTCCTCCTTAGTTCTAGGTTGGGTCTCTCCTTGATAAGCTTCCATCTGCTGCTTCTTGTCCGGCCCTCAGGAGAACAGGTTGACCCTCCCCTCTTTGTGGCAGCCCCTGAGATGTTGGTGTCACGTCACCCCTTGTCCTTCTTTTCATTGATTTCATTCATTTAATAATAATAGTAATAAAATTGGAAGGGACCTTAGAGGTCATCTAGTCCAGCCCCCTGCTCAGGCAGGAAACCCTACAGTATATCATTTCGGACAAATGGCTGTCCAGTCTCTTCTTAAAGACTTCCATGTTGGAACATTCACAGCTTCTGGAGGCAGGTTGTTCCACTGGTTAATTGTCCTCACTGTCAGGAAGTTTCTCCTTAGTTCCAGGTTGCTTCTCTCCTTGATGAGTTTCCATCCGTTGCTTCTTGTCCTGCCTTCAGGCGCTTTGGAGAAGAGCTTGACTCCCTCTTCTTTGGGGCAGCCCCTGAGATACTGGAAGGCTGCTATCCTGTCCCCCCTCGTCCTTTTCTTCATTGAACTGGACATACCCAATTCCAGCAACCGTTCCTTGTATGTTTTGCCCTCCAATGCCCTAACCATCTTTGTCGCTCTTCTCTGCACTCTTTCTAGAGTCTCCCAACTGCTTCTTGGACCATCTTTCTCTGGGTCATTGTCGAGGGAATTTTAGCTTCAGTTCATTTGTTACTCATGCCCTGGTCATCTCATGTTTGGACTACTGCACTACATGGGTCTCCCCTTGAAGAGTATTCAGGAGCTACAGCTGTACAGCTATAGAATGCAGCTGTGCAGAGAGTTCTTGGGGCATCTAAGATGGCTCCTGTTACACCACCGTTGCGTGAGCTGCACTGGTGACTGGTTTGCTTCTGGGTGCTAGTCAAGGCTGATTATCAAGGCTTGGGTCCAGGCCAGGGGTAGGCAACCTGGGCTCTTTTATGACTCGTGGACTTCAACTCCCAGAATTCCTGAGCCAGCCATGCTGAGGGGAAAGGGAGAGGTTTCCAAGCTGAGCCAGGTTGGCTGAGGAATTCTGGGAATTGAAGTCCACGAGTCATGAAGGGGCCATAGTTCCCCCATGCTGCCTCAGGAATTCTGGGAGTTGAAGTCCACGAGTCATGAAGGGCCCATATAGTTCCCCCATACTGGCTCAGGAATTCTGGGAGTTGAAGTCCACGAGTCATCAAAGGGCCAGGTTTGAAGACCCCTGACCTACGTCTCTTCCAACTCTGTTATTCTGATTTTGTCCATTTTAATATTTAATGTTATAAAGTGTGTATCTCTGTTCTTATGATGATTGTAAGTCACCTGTTAGTGAGGTGGATGGCATATAAATATAATAAGAAAATAAATAAATTTGGAAGGTGGCAGAATAGAGAATTTGCCTTAAGTGGGAATGAGAATCTCTTCTATCAGAATAGAGTTGGGAGGGACCTTGGAGATCTTCTAGTCCAACCCCCTGCTTAGGCAGGAAACAATAGACCAGTCCAGACAACCCGCTGTCCAGTCTCTTCTTGAAGACCTCCAGTGATGGAGGACCCACAACTTCTGAAGGCAAAGCTGTTCCACTGGTTAATTGTCCTCACTGTCAGGAAGTTTCTCCTCAATTCCGGGTTGCTTCTCTCCTTGATTGGTTTCCCTCTGTTGCTTTTTCTTCCTTCCTTCTGGGGCTTTGGGGAATTGATGTTCTCCTCCTCTGTTCCCTCCAGGGAAGTACTACATTGCAACCATGACGATGATCACCGCCTCCACTGCCTTGACCATCTTCATCATGAACCTCCACCACTGTGGCCCCGGGGCCAGGCCCGTCCCCAGGTGGGCCCGCAAGTTCATCCTGCAGTACATGGCCCGCATCTTCTTTGTCTACGAAGTCGGGGACAGTTGCAAGAGCCCCCCGCAGGAGCCAGACCCGCTACCGCAAGTCCAAAGGGCCAATGACGAGGAATCCACGGGGAGAGGACCCCCTCCTTGGGAGGCCCCACAGTTCCAGGGGCCCGGCCCCATCCCCAAGGAGGTGGAGCCCGAGGAACAGCCCCCTTGCCCCAGAAAGAGCTGCTGGTGCCATCAGGAGAACATCCTTCAGAACGTGGACTACATCGCCAGCTGCTTCCGAGACCAGAAGGCAGCTTCCAAACGGATGGGGGAGTGGAAGAAGGTGGCCAAGGTTATGGACCGCTTCTTCATGTGGACCTTCTTTGCTATGGTGGTCATCATGAGTGTCCTCATTATGGGCCAAGCTGTGTGATGCACAACGCCCATTGTTCTGTATCCTGAACTAAGATGCTTTGTAATTCAAGACCAGACAGATAACTCAACGAAATGGTTTTAAACAAATATTTAATCCGGGAATCCTTAACAGAAACTTACATTTCTGAAGATGCGTCCAGAAGCTGAACATTTGTCCATTTACGTCGGTAAAATCAGTAATTTCTCCATATTCATTTTAGCCTGGTTATAGATGATATCCATGCATGCGGCATGGTTGGTTTTGCACAAAGACAATTAAACACGAGCTGGCACATAGCCAGGATATCCTGTGATGAACTTAGTAGCCCCTCCCACTGACTTATTAACATAGGATTCACTGAACAGCTAAAACTACATTACCCATAAGCCATCTCTTAAGGAGACAGCGCTTAACCCTTTAAATGCCAAACATTTTAACATACAGTTCTCATCTAAGTAGCCAGTTCAGAACGCCCATTGTGTGCCTGGGAAAGGCAGAGGACACTCCCAATGGGAGGGTTGTGAAGAACCAGGAGCACTCGCCGAGTTCACAGCACAGAAGAGTTTATTATTGCGAACTATACCCAAGAATCTGGTCAACTACCGGTCAAAGCTAAATTGGCACTAGATGAGGCTCAACAAAATTCACAGGGAGTCCGCCTTGGGTCTCCCGTGGCTGTGCAAAGATTCCAAACTGATGACATGTTTGACCCCACCTTCCAGCTCAGCCAGCTCATCTCCTACAACGGCCTCGCAGCAGCTTTCCCAATCAATTGTGCAACCCCTCCTGGCTATTGTTTGGAGTTTTAGGAGCGCCTGCAAAGCAGCTCTGGTGAATTGAAGGGAACCTCGATATCCTCCAGGGTTGCAAGTGCTTTTGGGCTGTGCTGCTGGGCCACAGGGCATAGACACAGGGAGTTGCAAAGCATCACACCTGAACTCCTCCTGCATGGGGCTGGTTCCAACCAGCTGGAGATTCAATCTTTGGTAACAAACAAAGAATTCCTGCCCAGCCCTTGGGTCCTTTGGAGGCTGGTTGAGGAGAGACAGGAAGAAATGGGCGACATGACTGACAGGTATAAATATGGAAGGGAATCATTGTAGCTCAGGGTTGAACGGTGGCGTCCTTGTTGCCCTCTGCAAGAAAACCACCCAGCTCAGAGAGCACCAAAGATCCCACAGTCGTCCTCCCTCCTCCTCCTCCTCCTCCTCCNCCTCCCCCTCCTCCTCCTCCTCCTCCTCCTCCTCCTCCTCCTCCTCCTCCTCCCTTCTAGCACTGATGATGTTACCTAGTTGGGTCATGAAACATCTGCAAGAAAACCACCCAGCTCAGAGAGCACCAAGGACCCCACAGGAGATTTCTGTGGTTGGGTTCAGGCAACACACCTGGGACCAGATCTGTTAACCTTGGTTTGCCTTTTCTGGGTGCCATTCCATTCTAGGCTGATTGGTTAGTTTGGGATTCATTGAGTTCCCAAATCTAGGAAATGAGTTAATTCTATATCCAAATCAAATACACAATTATTGCACAATCGTGGTCAGAGAGGCTGATTTAGCGGAACCATCCAAGAAAACCTGAGGTTCCTTCGCATCACCGTCTTGCCAACATATCACAATATCAGTTAATATCAGTTCTCATTTATAAATCACGAACTCTTTGGGTGATGAACACCACCATACTAAATTCCTTCAAGGGAATTAAGACCTGGCCACTGAGCTAGACAGTCATTTTCGTGATGGTCATCTGAAGATTCTCCTGGGAACGGCAGGGAAGCTTCCATTTTTATCTCTTCCTAAGGCAGAGAGTTATCCATTTCCTAATTTGCACAAGCCACACAACTGATGCTTTAAAGCAGGCAGGTCCAACCTTGGCAACGTTTAAGACTTGTGGACTTCCACCCCCAGAATTCCCTAGCCAGCCATGCTGGCTAGGGAATTCTGGGAGTGGAAGTCCACAAGTCTTAACGTTGTCAAGGTTGAGAAACACTCGACAAGGGGATCCTTCTGGTCTCTTCCCACTCTATCATTCACGACTGGCTGGGGGAATTCTGGGAGTGGAAGTCCACAAGTCTTGAAGTTACCAAGGTCGGGCACCCCTGATTGAAACGGTGAGTAAAACCAAGCAAGGAATCGCTCGTGGAGACCACGCCAACTGGCCTCGTCTTCTGTTGCTGCTTCTGGAGAGGCGACCTCCGGAAAGGGTGGGGCTGAATCACAGGAGTCCCGGAGGTCCAAGGAGCCCCACGGCAAGGAGAGGACCCCAGAGGAGGAATGGGGCTCGGCCTTCAGCGGAGAAGGGGCTCCAACTCCCACCTGCCCAGAGAAAGGGAGACGGGTTGGCTCCTGTCCAGACGACGCCATCCACCCATCCCTGCCCAAGAAGAGAGGATGAAGAACCCCCCCCCATGGGACCTCCATCCCAAGCAACCTCGGCCTCCAATTCCACCATCATCCAAGGACAGCCTCCGGTGTGTATGCTTGTGTGTGTGTGTGTGTGTGTGTGTGTGTGAAATCTGCTCTGTTTCACCCCCAGCTCTAAGGAGGATGATGATGAGGAAGGCGTGAAGATGACGAGACCCTTCCCCACCCTTACGGTCAGGGATTGGGCCGTTCTCCTCCAGGCCTGAGTTCTACTGGGTCCAGCTATCCTCTTCCTGCCTCCCCAGGCTTCCAGCAAGGGGTAACAGTCAGAAGGAGGAGTGCCTTATACTTTTGTGCCAGTTTACCGTACTAGTCAGTTTCAGGCACTTTCTCTCCTCTGTTCCCCTTTGAATAGAAAATCCATTCCAGTTCTCGGGATTTTGGCTGGCCTCACCATCCTGACTGTCTGCCTTCCTCCTCTCTAAGGATCCCTCTGCCCGCTGGCTTTCCAGATGTTTCTTTGCCCGCGTGGTTTAGGGCAGGGCTTTTCAACCTTTTCACCCATTGTACCACATTTAGGATATGGCAACATCCGAGGACCACCAGTCGCCTAGCAAGGGGTCAAAAACTTGATGACCAAAAAAAAAAAGGAAAAAAGTGATAAAGTACAGGTAGTCCTCGACTTACAACAGTTCGCTTAGTGACTGCTCGAAGTTACAATGGCACTGAAAAAAGTGCCCCCCAACCACAGCCGAGCAAGACCCCTGCCTGCCCGCCCGGCCGCGCTCTTCCTCCTGTCTGAGGTTTTCATTGTTGTGGGCATTTCTGTTGAGGATTGGCAGCGGGGGTGGGGTGGGGGGTGTTTGGTTTTTATTCCCCCCCCCCCGTCTGCTGGGTGGTTGCAGCAGGTTTTGGTCCCTTCACATGACCCTGGGACACTGTGACCGTCATAAATATGAATCAGTTGCCAAGCATCTGAATGTAAATCACAAGACCCTGGAGAGGCTGCAACATTCCAGCTGATAGGTGCTTCTTCTGGGCTCAGCGGAAGCGGCAGGATCAGTGCCGAGCTCCAGCTGGAGCCTGGCACTGATCCTGGAGCTTCCAACTGAGCCCTGACAGCCCTGCAGCTCCAGCCGCCTCTCGCTCAGGCTTGTGCGGTGCTGCCACCGGTTCAGCCCATTCCCCTCCCCCGCTACCCCTTTTCTAGGATGGTCGCGTACCACCTGCCTGGTGCCAATGTACCACAGGTGGGACCCGTACCACTGGTTGAAAAGCCCTGGTTTAGGGGGAAATGTGGGAGTCAGATCACCTGTCAACCGCCCAGGCAGAGTCCTGAAATTCACCCACCACTTTCCCACTGCAGTGCCTGATGATGGACATGCTCCCTAGGGCTGATGACCAACTGGACAGGGGAGTTCCCAGTTACCGGCTCGCTCCAAGATCAGCCCAAGGCCCTGGGCCAGAGACTGGGACAGGAGGTCCAGAGCACCTGCTGCCTCTCTCACCTGTGCTGAAGGGGCATCTCTGCGTCTTGCATGTTTTCTCTGCAAAAGCAAAAGAAATCTGAGTGGGAAAACGGATTACTGGCCTTACGGGGAACATTTGCATATCACCAGAGGATTCTGGGAGATCACAGTGAGCAACAGAGAAGTAGGGTTTACCTACATGAATTAGGTATATTTAGCCTCATGAAGAGAAGGACGAGGGGGGGACAGGATAGCAGTGTTCCAATATCTCAGGGGCTGCCCCAAAGAAGAGGGAGTCAAGCTATTCTCCAAAGCCCCTGAAGCCAGAAGCAGCAACTGATGGAAACTAACCAAGGAGAGAAGCAACCTAGAACTAAGGAGAAACTTCCTGACAGTGAGAACAATTAATTGGGAACTTCTCGAAATAGTGTAGGGTCTGCTGCTTGAGCAGGGGGTTGGACTAGATCAGGGCTTTTCAATCTTTTCACCCATTGTACCACTTTTAGGATATGGCAACATCCGAGGACCACCAGTCGCCTAGCAAGGGGTCAAAAACTTGATGACCCCCCCCCAAAAAGGAAAAGTGATGAAGTACAGGTAGTCCTCGACTTACAGCAGTTCACTTAGTGACAGTGACTGTTCGAAGTTACAATGGCACTGAAAAAAGTGCCCCCCCAAGCCACAGCTGAGCAAGACACCTGCCTGCCCGCCCGGCCGCACTCTTCCTCCTGTCCGAGGTTTTCATTGTTGTGAGCATTTCTGTTGAGGATTGGCAGCGGGGGTGGGGTGGGGGGGTGTTTGGTTTTTATTCCCCCCGTCTGCTGGGTGGTTGCAGCAGGTTTTGGTCCCTTCACATGACCCTGGGACACTGTGACCGTCATAAATATGAATCGGTTGCCAAGCATCTGAATGTAAATCACAAGACCCTGGAGAGTCTGCAACATTCCAGCTGATCAGCGCTTCTTCAGGGCTCAGCAGAAGCACCAGGATCAGCGCCGATCTCCAGCTGGATCCTGGCGCTGATCCTGGCGCTTCCGTTGAGCCCTGACAGTCCTGCAGCTCTAGCCATCTCTCAGTCAGGCTTGTGTGGTGCTGCCACCAATTCAGCTCATTCCCCTCCCCTGCTACCATTTTTCTAGGATGGTCGCGTACCACCTGCCAGGTGCCCATGTACCACAGGTGGTACCCGTACCACTGGTTGAAAAGCCTTGGACTAGAAGACCTCCAAGGTCCCTTCCAACGCTGTTATTCTGTTCCACTCTTTTCTGGTTCAAGATTCTGATTCCCTGTTGTTCAGTCGCTAAACCGTGTCTAACTCTTTGTAGCCCCCCCCATGGACCACAACACGCTAGACTCCCCCCCCCGTCTCCATTGTCTCCTGGAGTTTGACCAACTTCCTATTCATTGTGTCGATGACACCATCTAACCACCTTCATTGCGCTGAGGACACCGTCTCACCATCTACCTAGCCGCCTGTCTGGTTCTTTAACCGTTACCTTTCAGGAACAGACAGTTGTAGATGCTGGCATCTTCCAGCGAGAGAAGATGGATGAAGTTGGTCTCCTGACCCTTGGTGAAATTGACCACTGTGAACTTCTCAAAGGGAGGGATGAGGACCTCTTCCTCGCTCGGGAAGAAGGAGTAATTCTGGATGTTGACCCCGTAGCAGGTCTTGATGGTGAAGAAGGAGTCTGTGCCGAACTTCAGGGCGCTCTCGTTGCTCCGGGAGGAGGAGGTGAATTGTCCGAAGCGGACCGCCTTGGAGCGCTCGGAAGAGAAGCGGACGTTCCTGACCCCGCGATACACCTTGTGACATCGAGGCTGAGCGGTGACGCCCAGGAGGTGGAGGGCTCGCGTCAGGAGAAAATGGAAAGTCTTGAAACGGAAGCGGTTGAGGTAGTCATCCCTGGTGCGCCCCGCTTCCCTCACAGCCGCGTTGAAGTCCTTGTGGAAACGGCCTTGGACGGTGTAGGCCATGAGGGCGATGGCGTGCTCCGGCTTCAGGGTGGAGGGCCCCGGGAAAGAGGCCTTTCTCTCCCTCCACATGGAGGCCGCCTCTGCCCAGGCGTCAGCATAGACCCTGTTGGCGACAAACTCCGTGCGGTTCAGCTCCGCCAGCTCTGCTTCCATCAGCTCCACGCAGCCCTTGTACTGGTCATCGAAAGAGGTCAGGGCCATGTTGAGGAGCACCTCCTTGAGGGGGAAGAGGTCTCTTCTGGTCTTGAGGGGGAAAGCGAAGACCTGGAGCAGGAGGAGAAGGACGTGAAGGGGCAGAAGGAAGCGGGTGGCCCAGATAGGGATGGTCTATAAGGTTATTTTGACATTTTCACTGTACTGAATGTCTTTGAGGAGAGGAGAAGAGGAGAGGAGAGGAGAGGAGAGGAGA